CCCCAAAACCCCAAAACCCCAAAACCCCGCAAGGAGCGATATGATCACAAAATTAAAAGCCAATAATAATAAAACTTAATGGAAAATTTTGACTCTAAAGGACAAAATCATTTGATAAGAGGAAGTCCATCTAAGATGCTGATTGAGCGCCATCTTTAATTTGACTAAAGCTCTCCGTCCCAGTAATTTTGATTCTTCTATAATATAGATTAGGAAGTCGCCTCGCTAACAATCAGCCGTGTCATTGAAAGATAACTAAAGTTCTGGAGACGATAAACTCATATTTCTAAATCAATTAATTCCCATTTGCAACCGGTAGCAAGAATAGTCTTGAATGACCTCCTTTGAGCTAGACTTGACCAAGAGAAACTACATCGCTAAAAATAATCTAAAGCTGAATGCAGTAATTTCTACTATTTTGCTGATAGCCTAAATATTTCCTATTTTCATGCCGTGGTTCGGAGACCCTAATTATGAATTTGATCCTAACGAAAAACCCTCTTCACTTAATATAATTAGCAGGTATCGAAAAAAGAGCTAGACCTATCTGATTTTCTCACTATTCTCAGTGTTTGTGAACAATGAGTGGATGACTATTATGGATTTTATAGACAGAGACTGCCCTTATGTAATTAGAGGAGGCTTTGAATGCATGGAGTATGAGAGTTTCCTATATGCATCTATCGGTGTAAGTATTCTTAACATTAATAAGTGAATTTAAAGAAAAGTATCTAGCATTGAAGCTGACTTCATTTGGATTTCAGATCAACAACATAATTGCATTGATTTAGCTGAGTTCTTAGAGACCTCATTGCAATTAAAAAGTATAGTAATTATTTCTTATATACTATAGAGAGGTAAAATCGGAGCTTTGCTGCTCGGAACAGGACTATTATTTTGGCTGATATGCAGTGGCTGCTTTAGAAATATTAAGTATCTTTTGATAAGTCCACTCCTGGATTTTGTAATTCTGATCATAATGATAATACTATGCTTTCATTATCATTCTTGGCAAAACGAATTCAATAAGGTCAAACTAATTAGTTTTTATGGGGGCGGAGGTGGAAATAATAATTATTATTGCTGATTACAAGCCTTCAAAGTTATAAAAACATTACTTTGAAAGAGAGAACACTAGATAATATTATTAATAGTTCACTTGTATTGTATCTATTTAAATCAATTAATAACAATTCAATTTTATACTATCAATAATTTCTAAATATTTTGACTATTACTCCTATATGGGGTTTTGGGGTTTTGGGGTTTTGGGG